AGAGAGAATGTCCCTTTTAGGTTTCATTTTTTGAAGGAGTCTGTTGGTATTTAGTAGCATTTTGTTGAATTCGGCAGATTTTTTCTTTTATTTAGTGGGTAGATTTGGTCCTTCGGATAGGTGTTCAATAGCCTTTTTTCAAAATCAGTCCTGTTCATTATCACAGTGTCGTTTCCCTCGTCGGTTTTAGTCATAACAGTGCTTTTTTCTTTCTTCAAATTTCTTAGAACTTCATATTCCTGTTTGGTGAGATTAGATGATGTGTTTCGTCGTGTCATTAATATATCTGATGTATTTTGAGGTACACATTGTGATTCTTCATTGATGAAATGTTGTAGAGCAGTTTCCATCATAGGTGCTACTCCCTGGACCGATAATTGCTTTCTAGTAATTCCGAAATTCAAAACTTCCTATAGTATTTTATTTACTTCCCTCACAATCTAGCATTCGGGCCATTTGTTTTTATTAGCCTTTATCGACTACTTCCTCTACATAAACATTTGTTTATTTAATCCTGCTGTTTTTGGTTATTCTTGTTATCACAGATCACTTGACTTTTTCATCCTTGTTATTGATAAAAACCATTATTATTAGTAGTAGTATTACTATCGCTAATTGCACAATTTTTTACGCTTAGTCTTATTGTCCTATCGACAAAACACCATGACCAGTTTATATTTGAATACTTATTCCTAAAGTTATGTACATTAGAGTTAAACCTGATAAGAAGTAACTGGAAACAGTATTGTTAGCTTAAATGTGTTGTTTTAAATTTTAATATATATTTACATTGCCAGTATGGAACATGTAAATACTTTCCAGTTAAATGTTTAACAATATATCAGTTATCAAAGTCCAAAAACACTAACCTCTATGTGTGAGTTTTATGCTTATTCACCCATATTAACCAAACTAATCTAGACAGGCATCACAAATCTAGCCAGTAACACTAACAGTTGAACAAATATATTGGCTAATGTGGTCATAGTACAGTCTAAAAGGAGGCTAAGCTAGTCCAATGCTAGTCTGTTAAACCTCAGTCGATTTAAACTGCAAAGATAATAATGTTTCTCTTGATATTAAATCCTGGAAATAAATGTCAACAAGTGAGATACCTAGTTAGATCTAAAAATTCCTTGCAGCTGACATCTACCACTTAAAAGCCGCACTTTAAAGTCTGATTACTTTTGGGAAAAAGAACACAAGGATAATTGATTTCATGTTCAAAATAGTGAATCGAATCGTAAAATCCCTTCATAGAAGAAGTTTTAAAAAGTTGATACTATTTTCTATCATGAAACGCCAATTCTATTGAAATTCCAAAATTTTAATTCCGAAAATGTGTAATTTTCAACAATAAAAATGCCTCAAAAATCCATCCTGGATTTCACGCGTGGATGATTTATGTTTGATGTCACACAAAATCGAAGACTTACAAGCGAAAACCGACCGACAAATTGGTCGAAGAAGCAGCCAGCGAAGACAGGACTCCAAGTGAACATAGACAAGACGGTGGTTATGAAAATAACCAGCCAACAACAAAAACAGCAGCAACATCCAGCGTCAATCACCATCAACGGGAGGGATTTGAAAGAGGTCACTTCATTCACTTATCTAGCATTGAGAATTGTCTCAACTACAGGAGGAACGGACCAGGATGTCAAATCGAATGAGAATCGGGAAGGCGAGAAACACATTCATCAACCTGAAATCAATCTGGAAATCTTCGTCACTCAGCCAGAATCAACAACAAAATTCAGTCGGATTTTCAATACAAACGTCAAGTCAGTCAGTTCTTCTATACGGGTCAGACACAAACTTGGCAGGTGGGCCACAAAGAATATTTCCAACAGCCTGTTGCAGACCTTTATCAACAACTGTCTTCGCTGGCTCTATACTGAAGATCAGATGGCCGGATCGGAAAGAATCACCAACAAGAAACTCTGACTGGGAACAAACAAAGCAAGAACCAATCGCCCAACAAATATGCAGGAGAAAGTGGAGATGGATGGAGATGGACACTCGCTGAGGAGGCCGCTGGGTGACATCGCGCGCGCATCAGGCCATCGGTCGAGTGGAAACCGAAAAGAAAGCGACGAGTGGGATGTCAGTGCAAGAGTGACATGGAGGAAATCGTGTGAAAAGGAGTTGAGAGAGTATGGACTAACATGGATGCAGGTGAAAAGTACAGCAGAAGACAGAAGCAAGTGGAGACGTGCAGTTGAAGCCCTATGTTCCACTAGGAACCCAAGGGAACAATAATAAATAATAATAATAATCCATAACCATTTTGATAAGTACTATTCTGCCTAATGTTAAAGAAAATCACATATTTATAACACAACTATTATTTCTTAAAATAAACACTGTGTTCTAACTATACTTGGCGCTTTTGCATAATTAAGTCCAAAAGCTCCAGTAGAATACTTATCTTATGATTTTTGAATATCCACAGAATCTTTTAGTCCAAATGTAATAGTTTAGAGTTCTTACTGTTGAGAATCACTGACATTGGTTTAATATCTTTCTATTGATTTATTGCCATCAGTTCCCTTTATCTGAAGCAATTTATTTACAGTACCTTAATTTCCCCCTAAGAGGAACATTTTCTTTAATTTCTAGATAGAATTTCAACTAAGCTTTACAGGTATGAATTTGATTAGCCAATATGGATGATGCATTCACTGTGTTGAAACCTCGCCAGATACTAGCTTGCTAGGCTACTAGATTACTAGTTTTCTAGCCGGTCCCAAGCACGGGTAAAGAGGGAGGGTTGGGGCGTGGTGCTAGCAACTCCACCCCCGCAAAACAACCAAATCGCTACAAAAACTTCAACGAATAAATATATTAAAAATTCTAAAAATATAAACAATAACCTTATTTTTTGCTGGAATCGGAGAAGTGAAATGACGCAGGCTGGTGAAAGCCTTCGGGAAGCCAGTCAGCCGATGTGCCTTCTTTCGATGAAAGCAAAAGTAAGGATGGGTACCTGGAATGTTCGTACAATGTACGAAACTGGAAAGGCTGCCCAGATAGCCGCTGAAATGAGAAGGTACAGAATAGAAGTGTTGGGAATCTGCGACAGCAGATGGAACGGAACTGGAAGGTGCCAACTATCAACTGGAGAGACAATAATCTATTCCGGCCACTCAGAGGACAATCCCGAGCACACCGAGGGAGTGGCCATCATGATGTCACCAACAGCAGCCAAAGCTCTCATGCAGTGGGAACCAATCTCCTCCAGGATAATGACAGCCAGGTTCAACTCAAAAGGAAGGAAAGTTACAGTCATTCAATGCTATGCGCCTACAAACGTCTCAGAACAAGAGAAGAAGGAGGCGTTCTACAGACAACTACAAACAATAATGGACAACGTCCCAAATGGCGATATCAAAATCCTGATGGGCGACATGAATGCGAAGCTGGGAGGAGACAACACAGGAAGAGAACTCACCATGGGTCGAGAGGCCCTCGGTGAAATGAACGACAATGGTGAACTCTTCTCAGACTTCTGCGCCTTCAATGATTTGGTGATTGGTGGTAGTGTGTTCAAACACAAGGATATACACAAGACGACATGGATTTCACCAGATGGAAACACCAAAACCAAATAGACTTCATCTCAATTTCAAGAAAGTGGAGACGGAGCCTACTGGACACAAGGTCGAGGAGAGGAGCAGATGTGGGTTCAGACCACTATCTAGTACAAGGGACTTTCAAGGTGAAACTAAAAGCCTCGAGGATAGCTGGGGATAGGCCACAATGCAAGTTCAACACTCAATTACTGAAGGACACAACCACAAAGCAAAGCAGGAAACACTACGCGACATCACTGAAGAATCATGCGTGGAAGAACATTGGAAGTCTCTGAAGGCGATTCTCAACGAAACGTGTTCAACGGTTCTAGGAAGAAAGAAGAGACAAGACAAGGAATGGCTCTCAACGGACACTTGGAAATTAATAGAAGAGAGGAGAATGGTGAAAGAGAAAATGATTCAATGCAAGGACGGACAGGAGAAAGAGATGCTGAGCTCAACTTACACAGCACTGGACAAAGAAGTGAAGAAGAGTGCTAGGAAGGACAAAAGACGATTCTACGACAATCTGCCACTGAAGCTGAGAAGGCAGCAGGCAAAAGGGACCTGAGGACACTATATCAGATAACCAAATCTCTATCCGGGAAGAGATCAACACAAGCGAAACCTATAAAAGACAGCCAAGGGAACCCAATTACCAAGGAAGAAAAACAGATTAAACAATGGGCGGATCACTTCAAAGGACTCTTGAACCGACCATCACCTGCAACCCGTCCAGAAATACCAACAACAGCGCGCACACAACTGCAAGTTGACACCAATCCTCCAACGAGAGCTGAAGTCTTGAATGCAATCAAACTTCTGAAAGCTGGAAAAGCAGCCGGACCAGATGGAATACCCCCTGAAGCACTGAAAGCGGACCCAGAGACTACAGCAGACATGCTGACTCCATTATTGCAAAAGGTCTGGAAGGAGGGAAAGGTGCCTACTGACTGGAGAAAAGGTTACCTCGTGAAACTACCAAAGAAGGGCGACTTACGCCTCACTCTGCAAGAACTGGCGAGGAATCATGCTCCTGTCGACGCCAAGTAAAATCCTGAGTCGCATCATCCTGGAGAGAATAAAGGACGCACTGGAGACAGAACTCCGACCAGAACAAGCTGGATTCAGGAAAGGCAAATCATGTACTGACCAAATTGCAACTCTACGCATCATCATCACAGAACAAAGCATGGAATGGCAATCAAACCTCTACCTCAACTTTATAGACTTTGAGAAGGCCTTCGACAGCGTTGACCACGAAGTAATTTGGAAATTACTCGAGTACTATGGCGTACCCCAAATATTCATCAACCTTATTCAACAGCTGTACGACAACGGCACATGTCAAGTGATCCACAACGGAAAACTCAGCGAGGCGTTTGGAGTAAACACAGGAGTCAGACAAGGTGCTGCCTATTATCACCAATGATATTCCTAATTGTGGTGGACTGGATTATGCGTCAGACAGTGAGTGGGAAACGAGAAGACAGGGATATCCTGGACCGACGTGAAGAACCTAGAAGACCTGGATTTCGCGCGTGGATGATTTATGTTTGATGTCACACAAAATCGAAGACTTACAAGCGAAAACCGACCGACAAATTGGTCGAAGAAGCAGCCAGCGAAGACAGGACTCCAAGTGAACATAGACAAGACGGTGGTTATGAAAATAACCAGCCAACAACAAAAACAGCAGCAACATCCAGCGTCAATCACCATCAACGGGAGGGATTTGAAAGAGGTCACTTCATTCACTTATCTAGCATTGAGAATTGTCTCAACTACAGGAGGAACGGACCAGGATGTCAAATCGAATGAGAATCGGGAAGGCGAGAAACACATTCATCAACCTGAAATCAATCTGGAAATCTTCGTCACTCAGCCAGAATCAACAACAAAATTCAGTCGGATTTTCAATACAAACGTCAAGTCAGTCAGTTCTTCTATACGGGTCAGACACAAACTTGGCGGTGGGCCACAAAGAATATTTCCAACAGCCTGTTGCAGACCTTTATCAACAACTGTCTTCGCTGGCTCTATACTGAAGATCAGATGGCCGGATCGGAAAGAATCACCAACAAGAAACTCTGATGGGAACAAACAAAGCAAGAACCAATCCCCCAACGAATATGCAGGAGAAAGTGGAGATGGATGGAGATGGACACTCGCTGAGGAGGCCGCTGGGTGACATCGCGTGTCAAGTCCTCGAGTGGAACCCGAAAGGGAAGCGGCGTGTGGGACTTCCAAGGATGACCTGGAGGAGATCGTGTGAAGAGGAGTTGAAAGAATATGGATTAACATGGATGCAGGCGAAAATTATAGCAGAAGACCGAAGAAAATGGAGACGTGCAGTTGAAGCCCTATGTTCCACCAGGAACCCAAGGGAACAATAATAATAATAATTCACTGTGTTGAAATCTGAACGTAACCCTCAGTTTTTCACACATACAAACTCAGTTGTTGATGGAATCCGATTCACTTCTAAGTCAGAAAACGAACAGGGTGAGTTGACCTTGCTAGACAGTAGAATAAGATGAAAACAAGATAGTGGGCTAAGTTCTAGGATCTATAGGTAATCGACACACTCTAATGAATACTTAGAGTTTATTTCATCCCATTCAGAATCAGTAAAGATAGGTTTACTCAAATGCTTATATAATAGGGCCAAGAGCCTAACTATTAAGTCAGAAGACTGAAGTAATGAAATAAAACAAATAAAGGAAACATTACTAGTGAATAACTATCCACCAGAATTTATTCAAAAATATATGCAGAACCATAAAAAAAATAATATAGAATTCGAAGCTTCTGTAGTACTACCGTATAAAGAAGGAGCGTTAGAGGCCTTATGTAGCGTTATCAATGGGACTGGAATTAGGGCGATATTTAAACCAACTAACTCTCTTAGAGATGAACTTTACCGGTTTCAGGACCAAATAGATCTAATTAAGAAAAATAATTTAATTCACCAAATACCATGTAAGGAATGTGAGGTCAGTTACATAGGTTATACTAGTAGATTAGGATCAATTAGATTATTGGGACATAAAAATTTAGTTGGAACTCGAATGATTGACTCTGATAATTTAACATGCAATGCATGTAATCAAAAAAATAGGGTGGGGCAGGGTGAAAGTATTAAAAAGTAATATAGTTAGGTGGAGAGAGAGAGAGAGAGGTTAATCACTGAATCTTTGTTTATTGATTCAATACTGCACACGTGCAATTGGAATAATGCAGCTCCTGTACCGGAGATACGGAAAGTGGCAGCAGACAACAAACGGAAATTGGATAGAGAGAAAGAGAGAGAGAAAATATATAAGTCAAACAGTGAAAACGTGTAACTAAACTGTTGTGACTATGACCAATAGTTTTTGCTTCAAATATCATCCAGTCGTTAATACTTCATCACTGTGATATTTAAAATAAACTCACCGGAGCTGACTGTTTATTAATTTGAACTAAGTATTGTGTTGGACTGAGAATATGCAAAGACGAACAGAAGCCTTTTTGATTTGACACTAGTAACTACTGTAATGTTTCTAGTCCACTCATTGAAGCAGCACTGGGTGACGCGGGCTCGAATCTCAGAAGGGACATGAGTTCCTCCGATTTTGCAGATACGCCTTGCTGATGAGTGCCAACTAGCGCGAAACCAAGGTCCAACCAAGGCTTCCCTTGGCCGATTGCCTCCAACCATCTAATATAATGAACAGAAACCTTGTTAGGGGAATAACTTCGTTCCCCACCTCTAGCTGAAATATTAAAGTGGCGGTTATTAATGGGGCTGTGTTGTTGTAATACAATATGGTCCGTATAGACAGGGGATGAACAGTTCTCCTAACTGCTGCCTAACCATGTGGATGTATCCGGATCTTTAAAACAAATGCTTCACTATTACACGAAGGTGGATTTAAGAAATTTAAGAATATTAAAAAAATAAGGTGGTTATAAAAAAATCTACTAAAAATTACCGAATGAACTTCGGTACTAGCAGGAATAACCCAGTCAAGTACAGCGGAACTTAGACAACAGCTGGAAACATCTTACATTTGACTGATCAGCGTGTTTCCTTCCTAACAACAGACCTTAAATCTGTTTATTAAGTTGACAACACTATTTTATCTAATTCTTTCACGAATTTCTTAACGGTAAAAATTTTATCTGTAGTCTTCTGTCTGTCAGTAAGTGGCTAACTTCTACTACACTACGACGATTTAGCAGCTTACCACATACCAGTCAGCTTGATGTAAACCGTAATCACTAGTCACACCTTGCAGTATTTTTTACTAAACATCGAACTACTCGTAAGTAGTATGAATATTAAAGCAAATTTATTAAGCCACACATAACAGGCTTATTTTAGACAATAAGCCAACATGCAGTACAGGAATTTCAGCGCATATAAATTGAAAAATAACTACTTTTCGTACAAGATCTGTATTATTACATCTGCAGTAATGTCTAAATATCTACGATATTTTTTCCTCATTTCTGTTGAGAAGTCTTCTGCATCACATCTAACTAAGATTGTGTGCGAGTTCATGTAGCAAAGCAAAAGCACAGTTTGATTATTCAAACAGTATGAAATGGAGAAAATTTTATGCATTATACCTGATAGAATTCTAGGTAACCCAATGGTTCAAGCATACATCAATATGACAATACAGCCTACTATATTCACTGTTAATATTCCAGACAAGTGGTGAATGCAAAAAATACGTTAATTTAAAGTCAATGATTTCTAAACATTCAAATTATTGGTTTAATAAAATTTGAGCATTCAATAAACGATATGAATAATTTTAGGTTTGTATTTTTCATTGAATGAAAACAGTTTGATACCTTAGTACAAAATGCAAAGCAAAAAGAACTTTAGTCCTGCTCAACGGGAAATTCCTTATTGATTCCCAAATGATTACATATTAATCGATCTATAATATACACACGCAATCCGAATGTGACTGTGAGGGCCTTCGGCAGGCTGTCTTACATCCGAAAAAAATGAAAGTGACATATTTAACAAGAACCTAGGACATTACGTAATGTTCCATTTACTTGATGATGGAGTAATTTCTTGTCATTATTCCATAAAGTCCACAGGATGTATGGAATTTCTAGTAAGGAAGATGTTATCCTGAGCAGCTTAGTGGTTCTTCTAACAATGAGTATACTGTTAATAAGAAGTTTGAAATTTACTGTAGATGAAAGGGTTTTTTTAACCATTCTGAAGGACTAGAGACCTTAACCCATATATATTTCTTTAAATATATTTTTTCATAAAGAAGAAATTGCTTTCAATTTTTTCTTAGAATAGAAGACTATTGATCCATAATGTGAACTGGGACTACTGAAATGACTGAACTAATGCATCGATAACGATATGCAAGACACTAATTATCTCCTAATGACCTGAACTAACAAACAATTTCTTCAGCACCCTGTGGTTCAATGAGCATTCATATTTTAACCAGAATGTTGGAAATCTAAATTCTGAATACGATTACAAGAATACTGCACATTATGGTGAGACAAGTTGGACAGAATCGGGTGCGTGCAAACTTACCAAGTCTTCTACTTTTCTAACTTCCTCAAACACTGGAGGCCTTAGCTACTCATGAATTGAAATCAGAACGTTGTGTAGAAAATAATTATGTGATCGATCCCTCCTTTTACAGTGGTCGTAGAATAAATAAGTCAGTTTAATACACACAATAGAAGATTTTGGACATGTTAAGTTTCACACGGTTTTTCCCATTAGTAAACTTTTATAAAGCAAAAATGAAAAATGTACCAACATGATATTATACCAATTCTTATTATTTTGTGGATTCTTCCCAACTGGCTACAACCTGAAAAATATGAAAAATACAAACTACAAAAACGGTATAAGTATACCTCCATTCGCGATTACAAAGTGTATCTGATAGAAACTATGACCAGTACAAGTCCGGAATGATGCAACCTGTTAAACTGTTGTCACGGAATATACACACTGGATCATAGGAATTGTTAAAAAGCGAAGAAAATTTTCTTTTCGACAAAGTCATCAACTAGGCTGTACATTTGTGTATTTATAATAAATGGGTGGGAAAGTTCCAGAATAATTTCCCGTCAAGGTTAGTGAACACTATCCAGCCTGGCTAGTAAAAGGAGAACGAAAATGCATATATAGTTCAGTGACAGAACATCTAGTCATTTTAATACATTCAGCACCATTCGAGAAATCCTTCAAAATAATATACAAGATTCGATCAAACCCATCAAAGGGAGTAAAATTAAGACTTCTGGGCACAGCCGAGGCACTAGCTATTCAAAATTTCAAACCCACGCTATGTATCCAAAAGAAATATATCCAACCCGTATCCCTCTTATGGCTATCATAAACAGGTAATTCTTTTAGTAATGACCATTCCATTGCCTTTCTTATCCAAACTTCCTGTTCATTCATGTCGTTTTTAGGTTTCTCTTAATCCCTATTTAGACTACCACATTTCCATATCCGAATTTCCTGTCTGTTTTGTCATTTTATTATTTCTACATATTTAATCCATGACTGCATAAACAATTATTCGACAAACTAGTTATGATCCCACTAGATTTTTTATCCAAACATCCTGTCTATTTTTGTTATTTCTACATTTCAACCCCTTAATTGCACAATATGTCAATCTTCTCAGTAATTATGATGCTTCTTTGTTTGAGTTTTGTTTTTCCCCTTGTTTATTATGGCATTTTAATTCCTCATTGTAATTTTATTAATTTGACCCTTGACCAGAAATTATTCTGGAACTTTCCTACCCATTTATTATCAATAAACGAATATACAGCCTAGTTGATGACTTCGTTGGAAATAAAATTGTTATCAGTCAAAATAACTGACTATTAATAGGATAATTAGACAAATATTCTCGAAAAATACAG